AATGGGGGGGGAGGGGGAATTCCTATTGAAAATAATCAGAACTCGTAACAAAAATACCTTCAAGATTAATGGAGAAGCAAAATGCTGCTCTTCCAGTACATGAAGGAAATCCAAAGTTTTGCAAGTTCTGTCCTCTCTAGGATGCATCTAATGGAGCGTGAACTAAAACAACTTCATTTAAGCTCCTAGAAGTTAGATGACCCAGATCATGAGAGACCTTGACCCTTTGCATGGACTTAGTCCATTAAGGATAATCCGTATTCGGTAACATGCTGATGAGAAAGCCAAAAAGCAGCAGACTTATGCTGAAATACACGGTGTTACATTTCTTCCCTTCTCACCCCCCAAAAGCCCATCTAATAAACTATCAGTAGAAATTTCTGATGTAAAGCTATCACCCCAAAACTCTCTTGGGTAACATTATGTTTAAGGATGTCTGGATAATACAGAACACAGATTTTTCAATGAGGGTAAAATACAGCTTATAAAAGTAACTTTTTACTGGGTGAATTTTTTTTAAGATATCCAGGTATATAAATTTTTTATAGGTACTTAATGGGATTTTTCAAAGGTAATTAGACAGACAATTAAAATGAGACAGCTAGGTACCTAGGTGCCATGATATTCCCGTAATGCATTTTAATACTTTCAAACATCTGGTTCTTAACATAAGAATATTTTTAACCACTATATTACTGAATTTGCTTAGTTGTCTATAGAAAAATAAACACCATCTGTGCACAAACAGGATATTTCGTACCGTTAGCACATATTTCATCACAGACCACAGCACAGACTACTGGTACTGCAAAAAGTAAACATACGCTCAATTATTTCAAAACATCGCTCCATTTTGTTGCGTATAAAGACCAAAAGGTCAAGGACTGCAGTACTTTTGCTTTTATTTTTCTGATTTTAAGCAGACATCCGGCACCTTAAAAGTACAGACGCATGAGACCTATCAATATCAAGGAGAGGTCCAACTCCAGCCTGAAGCAGGGGAAAGGTGCCACAGTCCAAGCCAAGTCATTCAATAGCTCAGGGTGCACGCTGGCAGGAGCGGGGCCGATGCAAGGCACCACAGCCCCCTGCAACCTCCCTCGGGAAGCCTGCATTTGAACACTCCTATGCACTGTGGAAGAAGGTACCGTATTTACAGTTTACACTTTTGAAAGCTGTACTATATGCAGCAATAGGAAATCCACCATGCGTCAGATCTGGTGCTATGCTGAACAAAGAAGAGATATGAGCCTAGGCACATAAGACTGCTGTTTCATGACACAGTTTTGTCATTTTTACTCACAGCATTAGACTCTCGAGCATAAAAATATCAACTCATGTTACTTCAGACTATACCTTTAATATTTAAATGATATCTACTCAAATCCAATTAAATTTGTAGTACAAAGAACAGATTTTGTTGCTTGTGGTTAGTCCTAACAAGGTATCAGAATATTATAAAGTACGTCTAAAGTAACAAATTGGGTATATAATAAAATTAAGTAACAATAGTTGACAACACCTGGATTTTAGAAAAAGGCCGGAGGATATACTTGTCAGGACATTCACTCTAGCAACTGGAAGAGAATTTTTAGAAACAGCATTACACTTCATTTTCACCCAAACAACCAGAAGGTTCTTCCTGCCCCCTCCTTTCCCCCGCTGCACCTTGACTGCCTGAGAAAGGACGGCCACAAAGTCAGCAGCTCTCTCACACTGCATTGCAGTATTAACACCGGACAGACAACAAACTTGCATACAAGATTTGGACATACTATTCTGATTCAAAGGCAGAAATTTTACCAATAGGGCTATGCTAACGTTTAGAAAGAAGAAAAGCCTGAGTACTATTTCTGAAACAGCATCACATTAGTATATAGCAACAGAGAAAGATGCTATTTTCAGTATCGATTTAGCTACCCTTTTGCAGGGCCAAGCCAGCCCTGGTAATCAAACACAAGATCCCTATCTGACACACTGTGTTCACCTATAACGCATCTGCTTGGTTTTAAACAACAAGAACTTAATGGTTTTCAGCATTTCTTAAATTCCTGTCCATGTAGCAGACTCTTCTGTCTTAGCTATGTCACAGCAGTTTTGTAGACAAACTTCTTGAAAAAGACAGGAAATGGCTGGGGCATATTTGCAAGCAAACCATAACAGCCTCGGTTTGACTTCTCGTTGCTGAAGCGTTGTTCATTATTAATGTGTGGCTGACAAGATCTTAACCAAGTAGTAATTTAGCTCTTTGTGATCATACTAACGTTCCACACTTGGAAATGACATAGACAAATAACATGTATAATGCTCCCCACAGCTCTCTATGCAATATAACAACAAACAACTTTTTAAAAGGTTTTTCGAAGATGGTATCCATTTTATTGAGAAGTAACCTGCTTCACTAAGAGATTAATTATGCGGGGGTTTAGACTAGTAGCTTCTCTTCAAGACAAATAGTGTTCCCCTAATTTTTTAATATTTTCTATAGTTATTTTACAGGCAACAGTGCTAGAACAGAAATACATATAAAAAAGCCTGTAACAAAAAATATATTTTATGATAAAAATAATTTATCTTATCAACTATTTCACTCTACCATTAACATTTAAAATTTATTTTGAAGGCTAATCTCCATCTAACAATGCATGCTCTAATGAATTAAAACACTAACACCCTGCAAGACAAGCTACTGATTGAAAAAGAAAGAAAAAAAAAACAGGAAAATGAATCTGTGCTTCCTGTAACAGCCTGGTTAGGAAGCAGATAACAAAATTAATCTAGGGTTGTCTTATTAGTCCATATGAGATCACGAATACTAAAACACACACCGTTAGTATTGTTAGCGTGTTCCCTCAGTCCAGAGCAGAGACAAAGAGCAGAGCAGAGCACACATAGCCCCGCCGACCGGCGCC